GGGGGGGTGGGGATGGGGGGGAGGGAAGTTATTTATATAAACTTTAAGTATAGGAAACATTTACCAGAAACCAAAACATTGAGCAACTACCACAAAATTATCATACCAAAAATTAAAGCCAGGGTTTAAATACCACCCAAAGATTGCTGGAGACACTTTATAGCTGAAGTGTCTGGTTTTTCGGTAGCGTATACTCCCCATCGAATTCAGTCAAGTTCTGCCATTTTACACCAGCTTGGAATCTGGTCCTGAGTTTTCATTTTTATTTCCCACTGTTTTATCTTTGTGAAAGACCCTGATTCCATTGAGATATTATAGAACAAAAGTGGTTAAAACAGCAAATATCCCTGCCCCACCCCAGAGATTGCCATATTCAGAAGAGGACAGTCATAGGTTTGATGCAGTAACTGTTAGGCAAGGTTTGACAACTGATGTTAGGTAAGCACTCAGACTAGATAAGCAGCATACAAGCCTCCCTCTCACTCCCCAGTCAACCTGGCCTTGCAGCCCCAGTCTTATAAAACGTAGTCTCAGATTACCAAGTCTGCCTGCTAATAGGAAATGTTTGTATTAAAGTCACTTATTTATAAAGAAAAACCAGTTTGTAGAAACAAAATGAAAATTTTACAGTTAATTTCCTAATGGTGTAAATTGGAACAATACTAGAAGTCAGCAGAATTATAATAAATTGAAACTTTGGCCTATTTCACCACACAAATAACTGATCATACCCAACAGACACTTCCACAGCAGGATTTCTTTGCTCTTCTTCCTTCAACTTCTCCTGTTTTTCTTTCATCTTTTGCTCTTGTTCTTTTAATTTTTCTTCCTTCTTCTTGCGTATCCTAACATTGGGAGGAAATGTAAAATAATTATGATCCAATACAGTGTGCCTAATTTAAGTTGCCTGTGAATTTTTACTTAATAAGCACTAAGGCATGAAAATAATTTCAGGCCACAAATTCCTCTTTTCCAATGCCCATCATGAGGTAAAAGCCCAAATCATGACGGATAAGGGCTGACGTAACAAAGAAAAATAGTTACATGTTCATATCCAGTAGTTCTGCTAAATAAAGGAGTTCCATCTAGTCTAATCCTGGATATGTTCAGCTTCATAGAATCAATGAGTCGGAAGGGACCTAGACAGATCATCTAGTCTGACCCCCTGCCATGGGCAGGAAGGAGCACTGGGGGTGGCAGGGGTCATAAGACCCCAGCCAGGTACCTATCATCCAGTCTCCTCTTGAAGATTTCCAGGGAAGGTGAGAGCGCGACCTCTCCTATGTTCCGTTCTTACCTTGCTGCTGCTGCTTCTCTTTCTTTGCGATGTTGTTCTGCCTTTAACTCTCTGAACTCCTGTTTCGCCTGCCGTAATATATCAACGGAGTCCTCAATGAAATCTCGAGTGGAGACAAGAGTCAAAAGTTTTCCACAAAGGGCATGAAGAATCTTTATCTTTTCACCTGATAAATTAATATTAAATGGTTAATGAACCTACCATGACCATATTAACTGTAAGCCTTTTTCTAGTTCATGGAGATACCCTTTATGTTGCTTATTTCAAGCCTAAGATATGGTGGTGTCCTGATCTTGCCTTGGGGTAGGGGGACAGTGGCAGCACTCAGCAGGGGTGGTGGCCACAGCAGGACCTGTATGGCATTGTCTGTGGCCCCCCCACAAAGCACAGAACCCAGGGCAGTCATCAATTTGCCCTCTCACCCTGCAGGAACGGCCTTACATTTGGTATAATTTTTGTAGATAAGAGTTTTAAAATATTAGGCAAGGCAGGTTGTTTTAGTTCTACTGAATCTTACACCCAGATGCATTCTGTTTTACTATTTTGAATCAAATCCAGCCATTAAGCCTGATCAATTCTGTCCTTTTAAAATACAAAATCATGCTAGTGCCTGTCTAGTAATGATTATAAACATAGAAATAGATGGAGGCATGAAGCATAAGACATGTCAGATTTGACAATTGAAATCACTGAGTCCTCTTCATTGAAGAGACAGCTCTTGACACACCTCTGATATTTTAGATGCATATCCCACCCTATCCAGAAAGAGACTCAGAGCAGTTTGCAGTAACAGACAAACCCCACAAGAAACAAATAAAATCCTCAATCAACATTCTAAAATTTAAGAACTCCACTGCCCTGCACCCCCCTTCCCACTTCCCTGCCTATTACACCCAGGAAAAAACAAAAACAAAACAAAACAAAACAAAACAAAACAAAAAAGAACAACAACACTCTCCAGCCATCCCAACCGTAAATTATGGTTAGGAAATTCACTGAGATATGGGCTCAGGATATACTAACATTCCAGCTTTGAGGAACAGCACATCACATTTCATGCTCCTAACGTAAGAGCATACACCTTTAAACATTCATTTATAAGATTTGCATGCTGCCCTCCACAAAATGAGGCCAAAAAAAAAACAAAAAAAAAACAAAAAAAAAAACACACCCAGACAGACAAGACAGATAAAAATAGTGAAATAAAATAACAACATCATATGAAATAGACCAAATTCCCCAGAATCTATGCATCATTTTCAAGTTTGAACTGTTAACTGAAAGAAACTCACTACAGAAAAAAAAAATAATCCCACTTCAAAGTTAGTCTCTCAGCACAAAGGCAAAGTAACATCAAAGAAATAAAATCCTGGCACCATAATTGGAAGTCTGAAAAATGAGCCATCTAAAGTGGTGGCCAACTTTTTGGCAAGTGTGCCACAAGTCTCAAGTATATCACTCCACTAATCAGCTACTGTCTCCAAATCTTATTGCCCTCAGGCAACAAGGATTTGGTAGGTATTTACCCTGGTACAGTATCAACCCCCAACATGTCTCCTCCTAGTCTCCAGCCCCTCCCCAACCTGCTAAGTGCCAAAACACACTGACTGCACATATGCTGTGGGCTGGCCACCACTGATATAAACAAATCAAAAGTTCTCATGGCTATCAAATCCAAAAGGGAGAGTTCATTTAGAATGCTAGTTTATCCAGTAGGCCAGGGTGGCACTTTAAGACACCAGCTGGTACAGAGAGATATAAGCTTTTATGGACAACAGCCTACTGCATCAGATGCTATGAATGGACTGGCAGCAAGAAAATAATTTTATATAGAAAGGAAACGGACAGTAGGGGACACTCTTAAGAGTCTTCTCTATAAAACCTTTTCTCTCTGTCAAAAGTGGAGTTTATCCATCAATTTGTTATGACACAGGAAAAATGGCTGTTAAATATATTTTGACCTGTGCTAGATATGGAACTGGTCAATCAGCAAGATAGTTTTTAGCAACTTAAATACAATATTTATTTTATTACCTGGTGACAAGTCATACACAGAAGTACTTGAGAGTTTCTTTAACAGACCAGGATTATTCAACCTCAGCTCCATGCACGCATCATCTGTAGCATCGAACCCTCCACGTTTTTGATAACGATATTTTGCATTGGCCGATGTAACATCAGCACCTGATGCTAGGATGTGGAGCCTGAGAATCTCGGAAAGAGTGCAGCTATCAAGATCCAAGTTTTTCAAATTGCAGCCTACAGTTAAAACAGCAAGAATTTATTTCTATATATAAACTAACAATACAAAGCAAACAATGTAAAATGTGCTTTTATTAAAATACAGAGCAAAGTAAAAATAAAAACAAAAAACAAAAAACAAAAAAGTGAAACCCACACATACCCTGATGCAACTGGGGCCATGCAGCTGCCAAAGTTGCAACTGCAGACAGTGCAGATTTTGTAGGGTCTGCATCTTCATCCAAAGCCTCTGTTAAATCTTTAAGGAAATAAACACTTTATTCTAGTGCAAATTAAAACTTGTACTTCGGCGGGAAGAAAGCAAGCCTTTTTAAAACAGTGCAAAGACAAAGCAAAGTGGCTCGGCATTCGCAAGAGCCTCAAATTCAAAACTCAGTTCTACAAACAAAAAGTTAAAATACACACCGTCTTAAGTCCACCCAGAAGACAATAAATGCTAGGGACATGCACTAAATCACTGAAAGCTTTTCTCACTATGCACAAGCTGCTAAAGCATCAAATGCACAAAGCATGCAGAGGGTAGGAGTGGAACCACACTTGAAAAAGGAAAATGTACAAAAGTTATACCATATGCTCTCCTTCAACTGAATCATCATTTCCTATTATCATTTCAGAAAGAGCTATCCAAATATCAAACATTGTAGGTACGAGTATCCACCATTTGCTACTAAAGAAAGAAAAAAAGACCAAGCTGCTCTTCAAATAGGTTACATTTTACACAACTCTGATCTAGGTAGTAAAAACAAAAGCCAAATGATGCCAAAGGAGCATTATACAGTCATTTAAGGCACATTAAACATCAGTAGGAAAAAGAGGTCATCCATGCAGAACTTCCTCTTTTTAAAGCAAAGCTGCCTTGGCACCAGAGGGCTAGATTGTGTTGAACTGGCGTGTGTGGCTAATTTTACCTTATTCAGCTCCAAGTCATTATGCAGGTTATAAAGTCATCACATAAAACAGATGAGGTACAGGTCTGAACTAACAAGACTATATAAAATATTAGAGGTCTTGGCTACTGAATAATATGCTTGAACCACATTTGTTATCTAGAAGCTTTTACCTGTTAATTTTATAATGTCTGTCTGCTATTCTCTTCCTGATCCCCCCCCGCCCCCTCTGCATAATACTACTCTGGTGTGGGATATACAGGGAAGGGAAAAAACAACCAACCAACCTACCAAGCACACCATGTTTTCCTTACTGCTTTCTGCTGCAGAACTGTTTCCTACTTTTCAAAATCCAGCACATGGTTTAAAAAGCACACATTTATATGGGTGGCTATAAATCTGCTTAACTAGTGTGACAGAAGACAGACAATGTCCAGCTATTCCAGATCACAAGTTTTCTAAACAGGAAGATCAAGAAATAAGGAGGCTCAAGCAGAAAGTAACAGAGAAAGAGCAAAAAGCACCAAATCACCAGTTTCAGAGGGTCTACTCAGTTAGAAGCAACTTTGTATTTGCCAGCCCTGCAAATTCACACTGAAATTGGGGGAAGGGGGTGTGGAGAGGGGCAGAAATCAAACTAGACTGCTTCTGGCTTACACATCTTAGCTCATTCCTCTCTCTCAGCTGTATTTCATCTGCAGTCATACTAGTAGTTAAAATGTATTTCAGCCAGAAATAAGCAGTTACTTTATATTTAAAAAAAAAAAAAGAGCATTAGAAGCAAGTTTTAAAGGACCAGATTGCTGCAACAAGGGTTCACAGTTTTCCCATCCTTCTTGCATCCGGCCTGTAGGAGCTAAGTGCAGTCAGTCAGTGAGCTCAGATAGACACACGAACAGTCAAACAATTACTGCTAACTGCTTATGGTGAAGCAAAGACAGGATCATCATTTCACCAGTCAGTAAGTCTGGTAAGCCACAAGAGACACTGCACCCTCTTGCCACGACAAAAGCTTCTCTCTTCTTCCACCATAAACAGCTCTGAGGCAAAACTGTGCTCCTGAGCCAATGCTCTTCTGGCACTATCTTCATTAATAGCTAATGCTTTATATGCAATGTCCTGCCCCAAGTCTATTCTATTGGAACATACTGCTGGAAGCTAAAAAACAAGATGGATTTTTCCATTAGAATAATGTATTTAACAGAAGTCTAAACTCTGTATTTGAACAAATCAAAATATGAAGTCTTCTTATTTACTGTTTAGAAATATTTACAGAAAGCAAAAGCAAGATTTTTTTTTTTTTTTTGCAGAAACCTGAATTACAAGACAAGTAGGTCTGTCCAGAAAACTGGAGAGCTGAAGTGAACCCAAGAGCTTTTTGATGCGATAGTCTTTGTTCTGATATTAGAGTGCAAGGGGATTAGGGGTATCCTATCACTAATATAAAGCCACATCCCTTTTATAGGGCATTATAGTAGCCACTGGAGGCGAGGGGAAGCTGGCTTGGCCCAGCAAAACTGTTCTGCTCCCCTCACCTCCAGCTGCAGCTCCTGCCATTCTGTGCAGCGCATGGAGCTCGGGATCCAGCTGCCTTTCATTCCCTCCAGCCACCCGGTGCAATAAGCAGCCTGTGAGGGTGGGTGCAGTGGGTGGAAGGCAGCCAGAGCTGGAGCTCCATGCCCTGGGGCAGAAGCCTCTAGGCTGGAACCAACGAGCGTGCAGTGCAGCACAGCAGAGGCAAGAACAAGAGCAGCAGCCACTGCTGGAGGTGAAAGGGGCAGAACAGCCCACCTGACCCCAGCAAGCCTGTGATTTGCCTGCAGCTGCTGGATACTGCACAGGACAGGGGATGCAGCGGCAGCTGCTGGGCTCGGGGCCTGCTGGTGCTTCTGAGCCACACAGGCAGCCTGCTATGCAGCCAGCCCCCACCCATGCTGCCAGGCCAAGCTGTCAGAGCCACAGATGCTGAGAAGGGCCTTTAAGATATGAAGAAAATCTAACATACACACTTAAAATTTTTGATATTTTACCACAGTGTTGTGACTGAAGTGCCATGACTATGACAGCCCTGCCTGGCCTGGAGGCAGGAGGCTAGGAGCAACCTGGCTTTGCAGCCCCAGCCTGCTGCAGCTCAGCCCAAGCTGACCTCTCTGCATCTGCTCAGCAGCACCTGCAGGCCAGCTTGGCTCAGCCCCCCAGCCCCAGATGACGCAGGAAGATGGCAGGGCCATGCTGGCTGGCTCTGGCCATGCTCCCTCCCCTGCCACTAGGGGGTGGGGGATGAAGGGGGGAAAAAAGTGCCCAATGGGGCTGCTCTGCCCTGGCTGCAGACCCATGCTGCTGGTGGGACAGGGCAAGATTAGATCCCCCTCCCTGTTTGCTTCAGGCTGTGAATAGAGGGCCTGACAAGGGCTGCTACACCCTAATGGGAGAGGGGAAGGAGGGGAAAAAAAGCAAGCCCCCTCCTTGCCCCCTTTGCCTCAGGGGGCCATTCTGGCTGGTGTCTGGCCACACCCCACCCCTGTTGTGGCTAGGAAGCAGAAAGGCAGGGCCAGTTCTGCTCTCTGGAGCAGACAACACAGCCTAGCCCAGGGCTGAAAAGCATGCTGGGATGCTGGGGGACTGGTTTAACTTAAACCAGGAAGGGGTTTGGGACAGAAGTTGCATAAACTGGTTTGACCCAAATCAGTTAAGTCTGATGCTACATTCAACCAGGTTTATCTTAAACCAGTTTCAGCTATTTTGAAATTGGTTTATGTGCACTGAGCTTCTGTTCTGCTACAGGTTTAAGCCAGTTTCTGATCACTTAAACTGGTTTACGTGCAACTTCTGTCCCTAGCCCATAAACCATCAACTGAAAGGAGAATATCAAGTCTACAGTTACTGTCCTGAAATACTCTCCAAAAATCACCAATTCCTTGAGGACTAAAGACTTAAAATTTAAAATTTGCTGTTAATTAAAAAAAGGCTCAATTTCAAAAGGACAATCATTTTGTACCCAACTGTTCTTCTCTATTAAAAAAAAACAACTTAATATCAATTTAAACATTTTTTTACTGAAAACTTGACTGGTTAAACTTTAACTCCTTATGCAAGGCCAGATTTTGCAAGCCCTCCTTCTGGCTTCAGCAAGAGCTGTATGGGGAAAGCATTTTGTGGGAACAGACCTCACAGCTCAGCCACTGCACTGTGCTAATACAGGAGAACTCCAAAAACCAAAATTGGCTATTAAAAACAATGAAGACATCTGACACTCTCAAGCATTTATGCATACACAAAAGAGCAAGGTATAACTTTTGACAAGCCGTTAGTTGATACTGTATACTTCTCAATATATGCCCAGCTGTAGTCTACATGCTAAACCTAGAGCAGAGGTTCCCAAACTTTGTTATCACACCCCCTTCCAGATTTATCAGCTGCCCTCATACCCCTACCGGCATACATTTTACGTTTTAACCCTTTAAATGCTAATTATAATGAAAATTAAATCCACCATTATACAATTTCTCCTACATATCCCCCAGAGATGTCCTGCGTACCAGGGGTACACTTACCAGTTTGGAAACCCCGGCCTAGAGGCAAAGCAGCCACTTCAACCTATAAAATGTTCTTAGTATACAAGCTGGTAGCCGCATGGTATGTAGGAATGTTAGTGGAAGACATAGTAACCATGCAAAGAGTAAATTCAGAGTTTTAAATTATGACTGATAACAATTGGACTTCAGGAATCCTTTGAACCTACAGAAGAGGTCCATGTGAAGGGTCAGGAGAAGTATTTAGTGCTAAAGAAGTGAAACTACAGGATATGGGGGGAGTAGGGAGTAGAAGACTGAAGAACCTTCCAAATAGACTAGTATTAAATGCTGAGTGTGCTTTACTGGGTATGATGTGACAAATACTTGCGTCGTAAAAGAAACAATGTTTGTAGCTATAACCAAGCTTAAAAATGAGGAAACACCACATAATAAAACACGGTAATTTTTTTTTTTTTGTTAAAAGTGTGGCAAATCATGCAGTATGCTTTTAAGCTCATATTTCAGTTTTTTAATATTTAATTTAAAATCTGACCTTTGGTCTCAGCATCAGCTATTTGATCTTTGGCCACTTCCTCCTCCTCTTCAGCCATTGCCTGAAATATGGCAGTCAGGAAAAAAAACAGCAATTCACATAGTGGGCCTTCACTGTCATTTCCTACAAGAGCTTCCTCTAAAAGTTCTGTGAATAAAATACAAGTACTGTAAGAGCAAATAAGTAGCAAAGAATCAAAAATAGATTCCCCTCCCCCCCCACCACGCATGGCAAGTTATCCAATAACATATTA